TCTGTTTAAGAGAAGTATGCATCTTTTATATATTTTGCAGAGTTGAATATATGGCTTACCCAAGTTCTGAATGCTTTGTAACTAAACTGTTTTTCCTTGAAATGGCATTCAGTAGTATCTATGGTACCTGACCAATGTTTATTCCATTTAACTCAGCTAAGTATTCCTTCTATAAATCACTATTTCTATGGATGTTTTGTGAATCTTTTAACGTGAGCTGTGGAGAATAAGGACCAAGTAACTGTGTTATATGTTTACAAAGGTATTTATTTAACTAAGATAACAGAGGTGCAGATATCAGTACACAAAATCATGTGGAAACGCCATGTTGCTTGACACGGCAACATGAAAACCGCACGTATTGTTGTGACCTTACAAAGCATAAATATTCCTTTATGCCCTTTGATGGGAAGAAAACCTTTCTGTCCGTGCTGTTTCAAGATTGTTAGATATCCCTCTGTTAGATTGCTGCTCTGAGCGCTAGCTTGGTGCTAATGGAGAATGTAACTGGATTGACCAAATAACCCAGGCTCAGAGGAACGTGTCCTGAAAGAGCCAGAGCCAGCCTTGTAGCCTGTTTGGATTCCTCCCTGGGAAATTCAGCCCTCCCTCACTACAGCATATGGGATGCATTGACACAAATGAAAGCCTGAAGCACAATGTACTAATCAAAACTGATCATCTGCATTTCTAGATCAAAGTGTATCAGTATATAATCTTATTGTATGAGCTGTAATGTTGAAAGCATCTTAGCTTAAAACAGCTTAGTCTCTTCTATGATTGTTGTAACCAATTTATGGCTACTCAGTGGATGAATCTATATTGTGATATCTATTTGACCCTAATAAAGTTATTGCATACAATGCATGTTTTCAGAGTATGTTAATATTGAAATGTCACTGCCAAATAACGAAGATAACTATTAAAGAAAAATAACTATTCCTATGCCTGACCTTATTGGTCATATTCTTACTGTTTTCCAACACTTTTATGGGGGTTGTCTTAATGTACAGTGGAGTACGACACTTCTGCAGACACCTGTCATTAAAGGTCAGTATCACAAGTTTTTAAAAAAAATTAAAAGTGTGCAGTTTAATACCTGCCTGCCTCTTTACCTCTCTTTCCACTGTCAGTAGGACTAGCCCAGTAGTGTGCCACCCATCCCAGTTCTGAGGATTGCTGGAAAGCTAGGTGTGAGTTGTAGAGAAAACAAACTGGAATATCTAAGTGTTCTCATATTCCAAATGAGGGCAAAATACAATTTTCTGGGTTAACAAAAAATTAAATTAATTATTTGGGCTCTTGGTTAATTTGTTTGGGGTTTTTTTTATTTATGTGATTATTTGGGTTTTGGGGTTGTTTGTTTGGGGGAGGTGGTTTTTTTTGGTTGGTTGGTTTTCTTCTTTTAAGTTTGGAAAAACATTAGACATTGGCAGGTCAGGAGAAAGTGAAACCTGTATGTGTGGCAAGGGGTGTGATGGGATGTGTGCTCTTCATGCCTTCTCCCACATATTCCTGCTTCTGCTTTTTTTTTCCTTTTTTTTTTTTTTTTGTTATTGTTGTTCTTCTAAATTCCCTTTCTATTAATTGATGAGGAATATCCCAAGCTGAGCTCCCATATCTAAGATTCTCCTCTAGGAATAGTTCTTGTATCAACTAGCTTTCTCTTCATGAACTTTTCCACTCAAATCAGCAGGGTCCTATTACTAAACTTTTCTATCCAATGCCGAGGGATGAAAATGGGTTTTGCTTTGGTTTATTCCTGCATTTCAAACCAGATGAAATTCTTGTGTGACCATGTGAGCACAGGACTGCAGCTTTATGGAGTTCACACCCCTGGAGAAAGGGCAGTTTTTGATACAAGGCTTAGAACAAAATTAAGTTTATGTCATATTTTGGGTACTATTTGTGTAACTCCAGTTCTAAGGGTTTCTCATGAAGGGCAGAACTGGTGGAAGAGTTAACAAAAAGTAGTGTAAGAGGCACATATTTTAATGGAAGACTGGCCCTTGCTTTACCCTGGTGGCCATATATTTACAGGTACCTCAGCTCCTGGCTGCTGTACAGAACAGTTGAGCCAGTTATTATCCTTTGGGGACTGTAATCTTCACTCTGAATTAGGAGGGAAGAAAAATCTCTATCCATAGCTTCTCAGGTTAATAAAGTATGGCAGCAGCAAAAGTGAAAACAAAAATGATGCATGCACTTGTCTGTGTTATGTAAGAAAATGTATCTGAATGTTTCCTCTGTCTTCCTCTAGATTTGAGTCTCATCCTTTTGCAGTTGCTGAGAAATTGAAAGTTTATTTCTGCTGGGGATGGGGACTCCATAGCCAAGGGTTGAGCAACTTATGAAAAAGGCTGTATTTGATGTTACCTGGATTTAAGACAAATAACAAAGTAAACTCAAGCATCCTTTGTGAAACTGCTGCTGGCAGCCTCCTTGCTTCCCTGCTTCATCATTAGAGTATCTCTGCCAGTTAGTTGAATAACTAGGTCAGCCTGGGAGAGAAAAAACATGTTCCTTGATCTTTGTGCTGTCCCTCCTGTTTTCCCATGTGTTTCTCTTTATAGCCCATTTCTCAGTACCCAAGTTAGGAGCACATTTGCATTATCAAGTGTGAAGCTATGGGGGAGAGGCAGGTACATCTGGTGAGTGTGGTGGGGAGGGGGAGCACAGGACTGTCTCTCCAGGTGCCTCAGAGGCCAAGGAAGGGGCACATTCAGCTGCTGGTTTGGGTTTCTCCCATTGCTCCTGGAGCACCAATGCTCCAGCTCTGCAGAGTGCATCCCCTGCCCTGGGTACCACTGGCTCTGAGCCTGCTCTACCTCCTGCCCAGCACATCAGGGAGACAAGGGTGGGTTCAGATGCAAACACAGCCCATGGGGCTCTGCCCTGGCTGGATGGAGTTGGGGTTTTTGTGTGTGATATTTTTCCTGATGACCAGATCTCCTTCATTGTGGCCATTGATCTGCACATAACAGAGCCTCAGTGATGGCTAAAACTTGGAGAAAGTTTGTGCTCTTGTTGCATGAATTCATGTTACAATTGCCTGACCTGATTAGGTTAATTATTTCAAATCTTTATAGGCTCTCAAATTGAAAGAGCAATCCAGGCTGTAGCCCTGAATCAATCTTGGCTGAAACTGTGATGTGCTGATATAAGAGGCAGTGGCATCAACATGCATTGCACCTCCCTGTAGTCTGCTCCTGACAATATCTCCAGAGTTTCACAGTTAGTATGACAGACAGATTAAGAGCTACTGATTAAAAAGTGCCACTGTATTATTTAATCCTTTTTTGAAATAAGTTCTTCTCATTATGTCATATCATGTCACAAGCATTTAGTCCTTTGTCCACTGGTTTTAAGAAAGATTTTAGTCAAAATTTGTTATGTATGTGAATAGATGGTCTACTTAGCTCATGCTCTCCCCTAACTTCAATATTCTTTTTTAGGATTTCTTTCTATTCCCAGCTTCTGCTAAATGCAGGGGCTTTTCTTTTTGGAATTCTATAACATCAGCAATAATTTGTATTTTGCTATTAATATATCTGGTCCTGATTATACCATCATTTGTCACTGACATCTATCTTTATTATGAAGATCTTAGCATTTTGATATGAAATTTTAATAGTTCAGTGAGGAGGCATCCTGGTTTTTTGCATTTAGTTCCTGTTCTTACATTTTTATTGTTTTGTCCCCCATTAATGAGATTTTAGTTTTTTAAAAAATATAGCTGCCTTTCTAAAATCTGAATGTCCTATAATGAAACATTCCCAGAGGGAAAATTACTTGGCAATAGTATTTTCAGGATTAAAGTTCATCTGGTTCCACACCCATTGCCATGGCCAGGGACACCTTCCACCATCCCAAGCTGCTCCAAGCCATGTCCCACCTGGCCCTGGACACTTCCAGGGATGGGACAGCCACAGCTGCCCTGGGTGAGGAATTCAAGTTATTACCTGCCTGGGTGCATGTTTGCAGCTCTTCTCCTGCACCTGCTGAAGGGTTTGCTGCTGAAATGAAACCTGAGAGGCCAGGAGGTGTGAGAGTGTCTCCTGTTTCAGGCATTCCCTCCTATCTGTGTCCCTGGGATCCTGCCCCACCCAGGTCATCTCTAAGGGAGTCAGGACTCTGTCACACACACGTTTCACAATATCAGCCTTCTGAAATGCATAAAGCATTTCCTAAAAAAAGGAGGAGGAAGTCTCCAGGAAAATACCAAAAGTGAGGCAGAGGCTGTGGCTTTTTGTAGTGGCAATTATTTTAAGTGAACTGCCTGTAAGGATTTTGCAGTTTGAAGTGGCAGGTTGCGTATTTTGCACAGACAGGATTGTTAACGTGTGAAACATGCTAAAAATTGACCAATAAAGGCACCTGGATATTTCAAACATAAATAGTGTGTACCAAAATAGCTACAGAGCAGATGGCCTGGCTCCACACACACCTTGCTGACCAGAATACTCGAGCAACACGCACAGCCAAAATCTCAATCTTCAAAGCTGATCATCTGCAAAGGCAAGGGTTATCCTCATGCTACCCCTTATCTGTCAGGCACAAACGCTCCTGCACACGTTAATTAGTGTATCCTAGAGGGATAATGAACCCCAGGTTTGTCTGAACTTGCTACTACCCCAGCAAAGCAAATCACCTGTTCTAGAGCTCAGGCTCCCAAAAGTCGGTGAGATTAAAACAACTGTGAGCTGAAATCTGATCTGCAGTGGAAAGATCCCAAAACACAGAGGGCTGGGTTTGCCAGCCTGCTCACAGTACTGCCTGCCACTGATAAACAGGAAACTGAGTCTGTTTCTCACTCTCATTTTTTACCTTGGATGCTAAGACCAAACATCCCCATTCCACATATTAACCAGGATGTAAGGCTTTTCATGCCTCCTTGTATGGTTCAACAGATGTGAAAGGGAATTATCACTTCAACATGATATCAAGACTCTCTTTTTTTTTTTTTTTTTTTTTTTTTAGCTGATGGCAGATTACTAAGCCTGAATTCTTGTTTAATTTTAGTGTGTTAATTGATGGAATAATGAGCATTGATTATATGTGTTTTGGCTTCGTCATTGCAATTACAGGCTCTGTTTTATTCATGAGCCAGTCCTAAAGAATGCACTAGAGATCTAAGACAGCTTAAACCTCTCAGAAAAAGGCTCTGAATTGTTTGAGTAATGACACTCTTAGATGGAAAATTAAAGGTTCTCTTTTCCCATGCTTTTTAAGATAATTAAAATCCAGGAACGGTAAGGTGGTGAACATCCTTATTCATTAGCCTTCAGTAATTTAGCTTCTACTAAATGAGGAAAACATTTTAATTCTCTGGGCCATCTGTTGCAGTCTCCTTTGTGTGTCCCGTTACATAAAGTCTCATCATGGACAGTTTTAACATCAGTATTGTATCCTTTCACGAGGAAAGATGAGCTGAATGAGGTAGCTGAAGTCACCACCTATTAAGAGACCACCCTGGAATTAAACTGCCTGCTTTGTCTTTAAACTTGAAGTTATCCTGTCTAGACACCTCTAGGCAAAGGATCCGCAGAGAGGAGCCCGTGCGTGGAGCTAGGCAGTGTGACAAGCTGTGTTTTCTAATAGCAATATCCATGCCAATAAATAACAAAGTTCACTGGAGCCCTTCCAGTTCCTCTAATGCGCGCCTGCTCTGCCATATGGCTCCGAGCTGCTTGGGGAAGCAGCACTCCCTGCTCGGGTGGGAAGCACAGCCCAGGCTCCCTGCTGGGGCTGCCTTGGAGCTGGTTTGGAGGCAGAGCAGGGCTCTTTGCACCGTGATGGGGAAATAGAATAAATATTAGAGTAGGAGTGTGCTCACCTAGGATAAATGCTGGATCAGGAGCTAGGAAATGCTTGGATTCCAGCTCTGGCTGCAGGAATAACTCACTTTATAGCTTGGGGCAAGTTACATTATCCCACAGCAGGAATGTTTCTCATTAAAATGATAATTTGTATAGATGAGTGGGTGCAGTGTCAAAGTTATTCCCGATGCAAAGTTACATCCCCACAGGTCTGAGAGGGTCCAGGTTCCATTATGAGTTGGGTTTGTTTCTGTCAAATTCTCCTGTGAAATTCAAGCCCCACTGCTTGCCAGCCCAGCAGTGCCTTCCTGCTGCAGACCGGGGTATTTCACTGGCTCCAGGATTCCCAGGTAGTGTTTGCATTATTGATAGGCATGGCTACAAGCAGGCTGCTTCCACGGGGCAGAGCTTCCATCCACCTGCTTGCTATTACCCCGTTGCCTGGAGATCACAAACAGCCTGGCCTGGAGATGTGTGGCTGCAGAACAAGTGTTCCCAGTATGAAGCAGTACTCAGTCAGTCAGCCTGCTCCTGCTGCCACCAAAAAAGGCCCTCCAGCTGCTGCAGGCATGCCCAAGGGGTAAGTCATCTCTTTGTTGTGGCATCTGGGTGATCTGCCATTTGTGTGGAAACTCATCATCTGGGTGTGTTTGTCTCTATCACATGCTCTGTAATTAGTTTCCAGCAATTCAGCACAAGGTAAGCAGGTTTTAGGTTTTGATTGAAAGCAGGGGGGTGATTCTCACAAATGTGAGTCCTGCTGGAAATAAAAGTTATGTGTCTGCTCCAAACTGACAGCATTGGTGAAGAGGGGATGGTAGACCCCTCTCCACTTTCCTGGTTATAGGTATAAAACTGAGAAACCTCTGGGGCCTCTTTCAAGTTCATGAAGAAATTACATGGAGTGTGTTGCAATGTCCCTCACTTAAAATTAATAATTAGCTTTAGTTACAACTCCAGGCTACTCACTCGGGTGAGGGATTAGAAGCTGTGTGATGTTCTTGTGCTTCTTGTAGAGGCCATTTTCCTTTCCACTGTGAAGGAAAGACACTGTCCCTTGGGAAGCCCTGAGTTCCTAGGTGATTAAATAAAACAGAAATGAGCAAGCTCATTCATGGAGAAACTCAATACCCAACACAATTTACCAAGTGATAATTGTGCCTCTCTGCTTTCTCACCACCAGTGTACCCGTTGCCAAGCAGCTGGCATCAATAAAAGGTAAGGGGAGCCCTTCACTGCCCCTTTGGGGTTCAGGTCCTTCACAGCCCATGTGCAGAAAGTTCTGGCAATGTCACAGGGCTTGCAGAGGCCATGCAGATCCTCAGCTGGTGTAAGTCAGGAGGGTCTCATGGGTCCCTGTGCCCTGTGCTGTCACATCTCTTGTGCTTGCCTTTTCATAAAAAATCACAGCATAAATCATCTGTGTAACCCCTGCTGGCAGGGCCTGTGAGCATCGGTATTTCAGACTCATGCACAAGGGGGGTGAATGCAGCCCAGATCCCAAGTTTGCCATAATGCTGAGGTGCAGCACTGGTGCTCAGACTGGGATGCTCCCAAAGGGGCCCTGTTTTCCCTGGTGCAGGTCTCTGGGGCTCCAAATGCATCCAGGGGATGGCCACCATGGCCTGTCCCTGTGGTGTGGCAGGTCCCTGCTGGATGCCCAGGACCGGCCAGGTGGGTCCTGAGCCCCGTGCTGTGCCACAGCCCTGGCTCCGAAGGAAAGCTCCCTTCAGGGTGTGATTGCATGGGATATGAGGCATGGTGCTGGCCCATTCCAAATAAAATCTGGGCCAGATCCTCTGTGGGTATAAACAGTTTCAGTCTCATTAACTTTAATGAAACTACACAGATTTCCACCCACCCTGGATGGTTTTAACAGATTCCTTTCAATTATATCTCAAAAGCCTTTTTTTTTTTTTTTTTTTTGGATAAACTTTTCCTCCCTCCAGCTCTAAGAAAAGGCTCAGACCTTGAAAAGGCTTTTGCTACAGCAGCTTTGGTGTATAACAACCATGCTGACCCTGAGAGCAAGCTCAGCAAGTCTGAAACCAAGAGCTTACTGCAATCCCAGTTCTGGCACTTCATCCAGGTGAGGGGGCCTGCTGGCTGGGTGGCACTGGGACAGCCCTGGGCACTCTGGGTGCAGGAATGGCAGCTCAGGCTCTCTCCTGCAGCTTGGCCAGCGTCACTCAGTCCATGGGGCATCCCAAGGGACACTTGAGGGGTTTGGTACAAACATTCTGTGACTGAGCTGCTTTACGTTGAGCCTAACACAGAGCCAAAGGAGGGGCACAGCAACAAAGCGCAGCTGATTGCTGTTTGGATTTGTTTAAAGAAAACAGGGCAATTGCAAAAAAGAAAACCAAAACCAAAAAAAACCCAACCAACTAAATTAAAACCCTTGGAAGATAACAAGAAGCTAGTTTTAGGAAGAGAAGAAACTCATGGTACTTATTGAGGTGTTTGGTGGTTTGCCAGAGCACTGAGGCCAGCCCTGTGCTGCAGAGCCATGTTCTGTGTCCACTGCTGTCACTGGTGGGGTTCCTGGGAGACAGGGGCAGAAAGGTGTGGTAAAAACCATCACAGCAGCACTTGTGGCTGTCAATTTCCCACAGGGGTTTATTTCCCCTCTGTAAATTAAAAAAAAAAACAAAAAAACAAACAAACAAACAAAAAAAACCAAAATAAAAAATTATCAAGTGGTAGGAAAAGTTATATTGGACTAATAAAAAAGAGTTCAAATAAGTAAATGAGAGAGGTAATACCTTTACTTCCAAAAATAACAAGATCACATGACTGGTTGGGGAGGGCAAATTGGTACCAAATTAGAAACTAGGCACCTTATTGAAAAAGAATTGAAAATATTACTGGTAGCAATTAAGCTTGGGATCCTGAGATGGTTTGGAAATTATTAAGCTAAAAAACTAACCTAGAACTCTAGCAAAGCTTTTTTGTTAGGAAATATAAATAATAGATATGTTACAGAATTTTAATAATCCGTTCCAACAGGAATGCCCAAGAGGACCAGGAGTAGCAGTATTAAAGTTATGCTTGTAAAATCAACAGTTTCTGAGACCTTCACAATATGTATTTGTATATATTTGAATATTAAATTTAAGAGGGTTGGTTGTTTCCTCCTCCCAGTTTTATCAGGACACAGGACTCCCTTTTTTATTTAACAGTTACCAGCTATATCATCATCATTGTCAGATTGTCAGTCATAATTAGGTGTCTTTTAGACATAAAGATATATTCTGGATTCTGATGGAAACTTTGAGGACTGATTGTTCTCCCTTCTGACTACAATAATATTTCTGTTTGAATTTCTCTTGAAAAACTAATATGAATGTTGACATAACAACCTGAATGGGAAAATAAAAAATACATTAATATTTACATAAGTAGGTGTCTTTCTTTTTTTCTAGTGATGCAATAAAAAAGGAATTTCATGCCTTTTTTTTTTTCATTTAAAATCCTCCATAGGGCCAAGAAAACAAACCAAAATACCAGGAAATAATTTCTTCCTTGGATGAGGACTCAGAGAACAAAATTAATTTTGAAGACTTCATGATCTTGTTAGTCAGTCTCACTCTGATGTCTGACCTGCTGCAGGAGATCAAAAATGTGAAAACCACAAAATGATTTGTGATTTTAAAGAAGAAATGGCCTGGCAGCATGTGAGGAAAGCATGAGTGAGGTACACACAGAGTGCCTGGGTTCCCTGTGCTGGTCCCTTTTAAATGGAATAAAGTTGTGTCCAAACCTGGCTGAACTTACTCCTTTCTTGAAACACTCCACGAAGTTGGTGCTCAGGGATTTGTCCCCTCCATTTGTGCTTTGCAGAGTGGGTGACTGGCTCCTGCTGGGGGCAAGAGCAGGGAACAGCTGGGGGCAGCCCCCAGCACAGGGAAAGGCAGCCCAGGCTCTCCATCCTCTCCCTGTGGTGGTGTGGGGAATGATGGAGACACAGCTGCCCAAATGTGCAGCTGCCCAAATGTGCAACTCCCCTGGAGTCAGGGCTGCCCAGCTCCCTGGGCTCTCCCAGCCACCCCAGGGATTGTCACCCCTGAGCTGGGGTCACCAGTGATGGGCTTCACAATGGGCAATGACCACAAAATCTGTTCCTGTCTTAGGTAAAGGTTGATTTTAGTCTGAGTGGTTTCCACCCCACCATTAACCCTGCTGAAGGGAGCATTTGTTTACTTTTATTTCCTCCTCCAACTGCTTTCTTCATTTACAGATTACAATGGAAGGAATTTCAAGTCCAGCATTTGCAGGGCATCCCTGGCAGTGCTGTGCTTGTACGACCAGGGGAGTGACCCAAACATGGCAGCCAGCTGAATCTGCTGTGCCATGAAAATGTGAAAAGCAGAAACCAGATAAGAGGTGATCCAGACCAGGGATGGTGGGAACAAAGGTGGCCAATAAATTGTTTGTTTTGGAACTGAGTGATATTGGTTAGGGCCAGAGCCTAAGCATTAAATGCTCATCATCCTAATATTTGGTTTGATTCCTACCTACAAAGTCCTGACTCAGAGCCAGTATTTATCCCACTGTGTCCCTTCAGGGCACAAAAAACAATCTCATGCCCCAGGAATAGAACAGCCCGTGTAAGGATTTAATAAGAATCTACCAAGATGAATGAGCCAGCAAAATGTTGGAGCCTTTTAAATTTTTTTCTTCTTCCTTGCCTAGAAAGGGGAAGACAAGAATGATTTAGCTTTGGTGGATAAATTTTTAACAGGAAGGGATCAAACCCTCTAGTGTTAAAAGAGGGAAATTAATGCCTGCTGAGTAATGAGATTTAAGTCTTTGACATAAAAAGGCTCTTAGTGTTTTCAGGGGCTAAGATGATGTTTTGTGATGGATTTTGATGTGAAGGAAAGATTACAATAGAAGACCAGCAGCCAATTGTTTGGAGAAGGAAGGTCTCTGTGTAGTGTGGGATGGAGCTGAAAGAAGAAATGAAGATGGATGTGGTGGGGTTTGAAATGAAGCTCAGCAGGTAAGGTGCTGGTTTGGACCTCAGCCAGGGCAGGCTTGCTCTGGAGGCTAAACATTCACAACTGATCCTACTACAAATAAAACCTCTGATTAGCAAAGCCCCTGCTGTGATGGTGGCTGCAAGAACAGGCAGCATGCAGCCTGTGGCAAGAGGTGACAAAGCCAGCATGCAGTGTTTCTGTCTGTCCTGTCTGTTCTGTCTGTCTGCCCAGGGAGCATCCCCCTGCTGTCCCAGTGCTGGGAGGGTGCCTGCTCCCATGGGTGCCCATCCAGCCTCCCAGGGTGGGATCACCCACCTTGCTATCACACTTTAACACTGATACTCTGTCCCTGGTGTTGCTCAGTCACTTTCCCTGTCCCCCTGCTTTTGGCCAGGTAGATTTGTGAAAGCCTAAAATATCAGCTGATGCTCCTTTTCTGGGGTATGAAATGGACTGAATGTGAGTCTGGGCAGGTTTCCCATTACTCAGGCAAAGAAAACACAGCACAGCCCTGAAAAGATTGTTTGGGAGCCACTGATGATGCTGGAAGCATAAATTTGCTAATATCCCTCTGTCACCAAAAAAAAAAGACTGAAAGGAAAAAATATTGTGAAGCCAATTAAGAAAAAGTTCTTTGAAATTGCTAAGGCTCTAACAGAGTTTTTGTTGTCACTGAAATGTTTCTAGATCTTGCATAACTTGAATTAATGACTTAAGAGCCTTTTATCAGCCTTATTCACTTTGTCATCTCATCAGGTGCAAACCCTTTTTATCCCAATTTGGTGTGTTGTGAGCAACATCCTGAGTCCCTGGCTTGGATCAAAAGCCCCTTGTGCTAAGCACAGTGAAAATTCAAAGTAAGAAGCAATTCCTGAACAACTCAATAGCAAAGATATTCAAATGGCAGGGAAGGAATCAGAGGCACAGGAAAACCAAGTGAGCAGAGGTAGCAGAGCTGGATTCCAGCCTGCACTGGGCTCCTCCCAGAGGCTGAGGCACTGGGACAGTTCCTGCAAGAGTTTCTGAACAAGGTGAATGGGGCTCAATCTGCATCAGCCCTTGAAAGTCCTTCCTGATGCTCGAAAGCAGGAGGAAATGCTCGGAGCAGCCCCAGCACCTTCCTCCAGTTACGAGGAGGCAGAAATTTGCACCATGACTGTGGAAGATGCTCTTTTATTAACCCAGAGTGTTTGTGCCCTGAGCGCTCCCAGCTGCTGGCTTTGAAGCTGATCTGGTGCAGACAGCATGTCTGGCTGCATCCTCAGGGAGCAGGCTCTGAGCTCGCTCACATGCTGCTGTTGTGCTTTGTTTTGTTCCTTGCTTGCTCCTGTTGGAAGCACAGAGAGTTCAGCATTGATTTCTCAGAGCAGAGCCCAGCAAGGGCCGAGGAGCAGAGCAGCAGCTGAGCTGATGGAATCCTCAGGTTCCTCTGCCTCTGCAAGTGGGAGAATCGTGGCAGAATCTGATAGCCCAGAAGTGAACGTGGTGTGAAGAGCAGGCAGCAAAGGCCTGACCTCTGTGTGCTGGGGGTTGTGTTGGGATTTGTGCCATTGGCATTTGGCATCCAAACTGATGGATGCCAGGTCTCTGCTTGAGTTTGGAAAATGAAGCTGGGCAAGTATTCTTATAGCAGGGACAAGCAGAAACATCTGCAACCCAACCCTGAGACCCTTCCTCCTCCAATGGTTCACCAGACAGCCTTCCCACTATTTCTTTGATTTGTTTTCCCAGGAGTATGAGATTTGTTTGCTTTGGCACCTGGGACAGTTGGAGGAAGTCTGTGTACAGATGCTGACCCATTTGTTGGTGAATTTTTCTTGATCCAGTTGTTCTTCCTCCATCCCACATAATGCTCTTTTGAGGTTTGTCTGAAGAAAACCTGCACTAGCAGACACATTCAGTTAAGCATTAAATGGCAGCTTTTTTCTCTGAAGCTGGCAGGGGCAAAACCCACACTGGGCATGGAATATCCACAGGTAAATTCCCTTTTTTCTTGGGACACTGTGGCTGGTGTCATGGCATCCCTGGGTTTATACACCACTACATGGATTGTATAGTGTTTTGCCTAATTAATTAATGAAACCAAATTGCAAAATTGCTTTCTTATTAAACTGATCTCACGGCAGAAATAAGGCTGATTACTTCCCTGACAAATTTTAATTAGGCAGCTACAACAAACTGTAATAAAGAACACAAATTAAAACCAGATCTTACTAGATGTGGCTTTATCAAATGCTGTGTTAGTACCAGGCAACATACACAATGATTAAACTATACAGAAAAAACTCATTTTTTCCTCTTCTGGTAAAAACCTATCTTCTTTCTAGGGGAAGAAGCATTTATATAAAAATGTCACATTAATAACCAACACATCAGTAAGTGTTTATTGGTAGTTGCTTTCCAACAACAGCTCTTGCACATTCTCAAGACTCAAACATTAAGGCACTCTTTATTTTTCCTCTAATTTTATACTTGTAGTACACATGACCCAAGGTTACTGCAAAGCCTCTGAGGACAGGAAAGGCTTTATTACCTGCACATTTACTCCTCAATTTGTCATTCCTCTTTTAGCTCTTTAGGGCTTGGATCCAGCTCAGCTGAAGCCAGAACACAATTTGATAAGGATTTGCATAAGAATTGTAAGCAGAGGCCCACACAAATTAAGCATTAATTAATGAGCACCTAAAGCCTTCTGCTGAATGCAGCCTGAGGCCAAGCAATGCTGGGAGTGCTCAAGTACATGTGAAGGAAAGAGTGGGTAAGCACAGCAAATTAAAGAGAAACGCTTAATTCTTCTCTAATACCTATTCCAGCCCTGGAGACTGCAGAAGAATTGCAGATTTCTTATCCCTGTTAGAGGATGACAGAGGTCAAAAGGAAAGCTCTTCCTCAGGGAGCTGAATTCATGCAGCAGCTCCCAGGCTGTGCTGTGTGCGGGATGCTGCAGCAGCAGTGGTGCTCTGAGCTGCCCCCAGCCTGGGCAGTGTGTGGGTGCAAAGTGGGGCTGGGGGTGTTGGGGTGGGTGTCTGGGGTCTGCTGGTGCCCTGGGACAAGCAGGCAGTGCCCAGGGCTGCAGCAGAGGGAGGTTTGTGATGCAGGGTCTGGGATGGGAGTGAAGAGACCACTGAGGTGACAGGACAGTGAACTTTGGATTTGAAAAAAGGCTACAAGAGACTGGAAGCTTTTGAAATCTCAAGTGACCTTTTCCTTATGTTGTTGATGCATACATCTAACACAGGACTCCTGAGGAAACTGGCTTGTAGCTCTCATAGGTAGCAGCCAAGCTCTGGACACACCCGCTGCCCCCATCCCACCTGTTATGGCCAGAGCCTTCCCAGGACAACATTTTGGCTCTGGCTCTCTCCTTTTTTTTAGCCCTGAGAAATGTTTAGCAGTTCTCTCTCAGGTGTTTAACTGGCAGCTCTCAGCTGCTACATCTTTCAATCCACTCAGGAGTTCTGATAAAAGGAAAACACCCTTTATTTACAGAGCTCTTGGGAGAGAGGTCAGGGTGGTGGCCTTCCCATGCTGAGCACATGGAGAGCTGCTTTGTCCTGCCTTACAGGTATGTGAAACACCTCATTGCTCTAGATATCTGTTAATAGAACATAAAATAAATGCTGGTGTTAAGTGGAGAGGGGAGGTTGTTGGTGTCCATGACCTAGTGCCGTTGTGTAGCTGTTTTGAGCACAGAACTTCATCCCGCTATCCTTAGAAAGATCCAGGGAGATTTTTTTTTTATTTTTTTTTTTTTTTGTGTATGTTGCCTGGTACTAACACA